CTTAAAGGGAATTCTGATCCAAATATGATTTGGATCAGCAACTCCTAATGGGATTAGGAGCTGATCCCTTTAAGGTTATAAAAGGAGGAGGGGGCGGCAACCTTTATAGATTATTCATATTCACATTCTCTTCAGAACTGAAATCATAGAAGAAAGAATTCAGCACCTCTGCGAAAATTCTTTCTTGCCGCCTCCTTCTCGCCGCCGCCATATTTGCCAATTTGATCTCCTTTTGTCCGTAGGAGTGATCAAGATTGGATCTTGATATCAGTCCTTTGTGAAAGGGCTGATTGGAAGTAGTGCTCACGTGTCGTCCAGTTGATTCTTGTGAAGGATCTGGTTCTTTTGAAGAACGCTGCTGATTCTGCTCCATCTTGCACTGCGCCATGTTCAGTGGGAACAGTCTTTGGTTCCTTCCTTGGGCGTGAACACCTCCATTCGGAGATACTATTTCTCCGTATCAGGTATATCCCTCTCCTACTGTTTTTGTTCAGATCTGATTCGGTTCATGGTTCAAGATTGATCATTGAAAAATATGATTTTTCTAAAATAGGGAATACGATTCCCAGTAAGATGGAGAGGAATTTTTGAAATTCGCCCATTCTATTCCGCAAGATTCGGGCATCCATACGATGGATATCTCCTCGCTTCAGGTGATCCACTGTTTCTGCCTCTGGAAGGCACAAAGAATATGCATTTGTTACCACTTTTTTCTTGAGTTAAAATAGTTAACTTTTGGAAATTTGTCTGGCATTGTTGCCATGAAGAAAGGCATCTTGGTTGGTATCAAAGCCTGCCAAATCATACTTAATGTGTTCTTTTTTTTTATCTGTAACAAAGGTCAAAGAAATTTTAGTTGATGATCAATGCTTTTGCTTCTTGTTTATGCTCCAGCCATTCTGCATATAAAGATTGGGCAATCAAATTCTGTCTAACAAAAAAGTTAACTCATTTCAGGCATGGCTTCTTCGGCATGGACCATTTCATGCTGTTATTGATGGTGCCAATGTGGGCCTTACCAATCAGCACAGTTTCAGCTTTTCCCAGGTTAGAGCTTCCAAAAATAATTTCTGGAAAACTGGTTTATTTGTTAATATGTTAAAGATAGATAAATAAGTGTTGAGTTTGTTAATTTTGGATGCAGCTAAGTTCTGTTGTAAGTTGTATTCGCCAAATGAGTCCATCAAAACACTTGCCACTTATTGTTCTGCATAGTAGTCGCATAAAGGGTGGTCCTGCACAGAACCCACATACTAAGAAACTATTAGAAAAGTGGGAGAATTCTGGTGCACTCTATGCTACTCCTTGTGGATCAAATGATGATTGGTAAGATCTCCTTCCATGGCTTGGTAAAGGATTTCTATTAGAATTATTTTCAATCAAAGTGCAAGGAGTTCCTAGAGCCTGAGGCACTAGGCATAAGGCAAGGAATGTGCCTAAATGAAGTGAGATGCCACTTTTGTAATAAAAAGAAAATCTTTTTTTGATCAGTAAAAGAGATTTCATTATAAATTTAGAAAGATTACAGAAATGAGTAGCCTCGGCTACCCCACTACAATTTAGAGTTTTTTTTTTTTTTAAGGATAAAAGGAAATTCATCAAAACTGAAAAAAAGCAGTACATCTCAGAGAAATGGTTGTCTAGTTGACAAACCAATATTGAACAAACTACACTGAAAAAGACTCAAAATTACAAGGATTCAACTCTAGAGTACTCCAGAAATTCTCTATCAGATCAGACTTGTTCACTTGGTCAAACTCTGGAAGGCTGAGAACCCAAGCTACAATTGGGTTGCTCATCCCTGCTAACAAGTATTCGACATTCTTTTATTCCTAATTAGTAATTGTAGTTGTGGATGTGAAGGATTAAACTACCCTACTGGGAGCTCGGAATAGTACCAGCAATGGAGGTAGTTGTGGATGTGAGAAGATCAGGGAAGTTGGAGGAGAGAATGAATCTTCTTTGAGCAAGTTTGATAGGTAGAGTAGTTGGGAGAGAAGTTGAGATAAAGGAGTTTGAGAGTTGGGCGGTCTTAGAATCGGGGAGAGAAAAGGTCCTGGGAGTAAGGAAACTGCAAGCAGAGCTATTACTAATAATCTTCCATAGTAGAAAATTTGCAAAACAGGTGTTGGAGGAAGAGAAAGCAAAGGAAAGGGAGTTCGACATAAGGCTGGATTGGTGGACTCCGACGGTCAGAGAACTGGTAGAAGGCAGATGGAAGTGCGCGGCATGAATAGATATAGTGGGGGATCCCACTGCATGCGTGGTGCATCAATACATTCGAGGAAATCACGGCATCCTGTGGAAGACTAATATGATTGGATGACAGGATCGGAAATGGGAGAAAATGGACATGGCAAGGATTCTGGTCAAAGTAGAACAGACGTCGGATGTCCCAAAGCAGATGAATCTGTTGTTCGCAGGCGAATGGTATGTCCTGAGGCTGTTTGTTGAAGGAACAGATGGCATATACTGCAGAACAGATAAGGAAAAAGGGGCGAAGGTGAATGCGATCGAGAAGAGCAGTGAGGAAGGAAGGTGGAAGGAGGAGGAAGGAGAAAGGGTGGGTGGGAAAACAGGGGAGGAGCCGGAGAAGAAGAAGTCGAAGAGATGAAGGGAAGAGGAAGAAAAGGATGAGCTGGCATAACCCTTGAGAAAGAAAACACATGTGGAAGGAGGGGGTGTGGTGGCAGATTGAGAAAGTGGAGGTTGATGGGCCTGGATCAATAGGGGGAGATAGATCTGAAGAGGAGGGGGCAAATAGAAGGGGAGAGGAAAAGTCGCCAGCCGGTAAAAAGAAGGAAGACCCAAAAAGAGTTTACTGCTTCAGTAAGTTAGTGGTAAATCTCAAAAAAGCTTAAAAAGATAAAAAGACAGAGACCATGAGGGGAAAACATGGAAAAAGCACATACTCGAAGAAGAACAACTTCGACCGTTCAAGTTCCCAGGAAAACCAACCGCAAAGATTACAAGGAAGAGGAAAAAAATAGCTGGATTTGGGTAGTGGCCGAGTATGAGAATGGAAAAAATATCAAATTCTTTGGAGAGGTAAATAAGAAGCGGTTAACAAGCTAGGTGGTAGAAGGAGATGTACAAAAATCTGTAGCAGAAGAGAAGATTAGAGACTCAAAGAGAAGTAAAAGGACAACATCCCAGAGAAACGAAGAAACCTCAAATAGGTGAGCAGAAAGGGAGTTAGGCTCATTGTTAGAGGCAGAAAGCAATAAGGGAGAAAATTTCCAAGAAAAGGTCGCAGAAGAGAAAGGGGTCCTGGGGAGGTCAATAGTTCTAGAGGAACAGAGATTTTCCAGCAACCAGGATCCAAGCATCATAGAGAAAACTACAGAGTTAACATAAGGAAATAGGAAAGAAACAACTGTACAACTAGATACTGTTATCCTAGTATCCCCATTCAGAATTGCTGAGGCGAGTCAATCCTGCTCACCGAGTATTCTTGCATCGAAAGATCCAAGCAGGGGGAGGGGAAGAAAGAAAAAGAACAGAGGAAGAGGCAAAGGAGAAGATAGCAGAAAAAAGAAAGTCACGGGAGGAGGTAGAAATCAAGAAAGGGTATATAGCAGAAAAAGAAGACATTCATTAATAAATCAGAGCCCAGAAGGAGAGAAGCAAGGGGAAGGAGGAGAATCCTTAAAGACAGGGGACAGGAACAGAGAAAGAGAAAGAGAAAGAGAAGAGTAGTCTCAAGAGGATGAAGAGGTTACGAAGATAATACAGAATGGGAAGGTGAATATTAATGAACTGGTAGAGAGGGAGGTCGAGTCTCTTGGTCTAATATTCTGGGGAGGGGAAGGTTTCGTGAGAATAGCCTTTGAGAAATTTGAAAAAAAAGAAAAGGGAAGAGAAAAAGAAAAAGGAAGAATATCTAGAAAAAAAAACAAGGGGTGGGACGAGGAAGGGGTTGGACAAGATTGAGTGAAATTGGGGGTCAGGGGAAGACGGTGGGGGAGATAGATGAGGATCCTTAGCTGGAATGTGAGGGGTTTGAGGGAAGGAGGAAGGATGGAGATAGTGAGAAATTTTCTTAAAAGTATCAAACCAGAGGTGGTGCTACAAGAAACAAAGCTGGAAAACTTTGATGTAAAAATGAAAAATGAAATTTGGGAGGAAGAGGGAGGGGAATGGGTGGAGCTTAGAGCTTTGGAGCTATCAGGGGGAGCTGAAATTTTGTGGAACCCAAGTGTCTTTAAAAAGGTTGGGGAGGAAGTTGGAGTGTTCTCAGCCTCAGTGTGCTTACAAGAAGTAAATGGTGAATGGAGATGGGGTTTAACTAATGTTTATGGGCCAAATGAGGAGGGGGAGAGGATGGAGTTTTGGGAGGAACTCAAAGGGCTGAGGCAAAAGTGGGATGGGCCTTGGTGTGTGGGTGGGGACTTCAATGTAGTAAGAAGGAGAAGTGAAAT